TTCTTGGAGGCGAGGTTGTTGGGCTCGCCCGATGCCTTGAAGTGGCGGTGCTGCACGATCTCCTCCAGCGGCACCGAGCAGTGTTGTCCGTTCTTGGCGTCGGCGATGAGCTTGGCCAGTGTCGCCTCGGCGCCAAGGAGCAACGTCTCGGGAAATCGCCTCGCGATGCCCTTGATCTGGACTGCCTCGTATTTCTTGATCTGTTGCTGCCAGTATCCGGGAGGCAGCTCCTTCGTCTTGGTCGAGGAGGAAGACGAGGTCGTCGTGGTAGTGGCCGTCGCTGCAGGCGTCGCGGTCGCGTGTGCCTCCCGGCACTTCTTCCACACATGTCGAAGGCGAGCGCGTGCCACTGGAAACTCTGTCTCGGCCAGTTCCAAAATTGTCCCGTCGTGCAGATCCACAGGCTTGCGAAGCGGCGCGACGACTGCTTCGTCAAATTCCTCGATCGTCTCCCCGAGCTCGGCGAAGATGGCCGTGGTCGTCACACCGATGTTCGTGATGTACTTCCTGAGGCTCTCGGCTGCGCCCGCGGAAGAAAACAACGCCTGCAAGGAAGGGTCCATGGGACGGGCGGGGCGGGCACAAGGGTTAAGAGAAAAGGCAGGGCTGCGGGTGGCCAGACGACGGCAGCAAAGTTTCAGCTCTCACCAGAACAACCCTCTCGAGCGGAGCGAGGCCGCTTCTTTTCGAAAAAGCGCTGCGTAGCGATTCCTCTCCTCAGCTCGAAGACGAGCTGGCGCTGTCGGTGGACTCGTCCTCAGACCGAGCCGGTGCGTGCTCCAACTTAGCAGTCGAGGCTGCAGAGCTCTCCGGAAAACACTTCCGGCACAGTTCCTTGGAGCCGTCGTCGTGGGCCCTGGTGAACTTGGCGTAGCCGTACGCCCAACCACACTTTGCACGCCATTGCACTGGCGGGCGTGATGGCTCCTCAGGATCGCGAGCGTGCGCCTTGGACTTGCAGACCAGGTCCGGTCGGTCCTGTATCGCCTCGAGCCTTTCCGCTATGCCGTCGAGGGTCCCCAAGAGCGAGGAAATCTGCGTATCCTCCTTGGCGCTGCTGGCCGTGCGGGGCTTCTTGGCCGCCTGGGCCGGCGGCTCCTGCGCTTGGGCCGATGGCTGCACCAAGGTCCACTGTCGTATGTCCGGCTCCTTGGCAGTGTCCAAAATGGCCTCGCTGCGCGCTGGCGTCGTAGGCGGCGCAGACGGCGCAACCGGGAAGAGGTCCTCGAGCTCGGTTTCTTGAACGTAGCGTTCGATTGCTCGGCTCCCCCATCTCCCAAGGAGCATGATGGTCGACACCGGTATGCGCATGCGGCACAGATGTTGTGCGCCTGACACCCTGAGGCAGTGGCCCCCAAAGCGCTGCACGTCGGGCTCGTCCGGGGCTCCTGGTCTGGAGAGGTTGACCCCGGCCGACTGCAAAACATCATGGATGAGCTCGATGGTCTGGGGCTTGCTGAGCGGAACGCCTGGTGTCGGTGAGAAGAGAAAGTCCTCTGGGTCCACGGAGCACTCGTCGGCGATGCGCAGCGCCGCGTGGTAAGGGCAGATGTTCTCAGGCACCACACCACAGTAGCAAGAGTGCTTGCGGTGCACCAGGCTGCCCACTGTGTCGGTTTTGCTCGAGGCCAGCGTCAGCGTGACTTGTGTCCACTGCCATGTGTTTCACGCGGAGATTGGCGAGCTCGATTTCCCGACATAGGAACCAAGAGCCTAAAACCACCATGCCATGTGCCAGCGAGAAGCTCGCGCCCTTGGAAGTGAAGTCGAAGTCCAGGGCATCGAGGCGGAAGGCGTCCTTCGCGGCGTTGGCCCCCATGCCTCTCTCGATGGAGCGGATGGCGTCCCGAAACGCCAGCTCGACGGCGGCCGGTGCTGGCATGCCTGTCACCCGGATGTGTTCCTTGCGGGCTCTGGAGAAGTATTGCGCGGAGCTGCGATACCCCCCGAAACGGAAGCTTGCACCAACCATCTCGATCAGCTCGGGAGTCAGTGGGACTGGCTCTTGTTGCCAAGCAGAGCAAATCTTGCACCATGTAGCCCATCTTGCGTCCAGAGGAGCCCGTGCTGAGCGAGCGTAGATGTTGTCGCGAAAATCCTGTGGGCATGCTGTGCGTTCGCCGGCTTGGCTGCGGCTATGGCTCGGCTCAGAAGCCCCCCTGCGGAGGTACGGATCTGCGGCAGGTCATGGCAGGCTGGTGCCCCGGAGCCCTGACCTTCGCCGCGCGGCATCCCCTTGCGAGCCTCTGCGAGGGAGCCGGGCATCCGGTGCTCGGCCGGCTCCAACTGCACCGCGGCCATCTTCGGATGGTATCCCGAGTGCTCGATCAAGACCGTGATGTGTGCGGCGAGGGCCGGAGAAACCGATTCGATACGTTGTGCAGCGTCGTGGATGCTCTCTATGAGCTCGTCACTCAACAGATCCACGACTTCGGTCCCGAGGCCCGCGTCGAAGCAAGCGCGAATCAAGTCGTTAAAGCACGTGAAGTCGTATGTTGTCATGGCGCGAGCGGGCGTGCGCAGCGCTACAGACAAATGTGCTCACACAGAACTGAACCAACCTCGAGAGGAGAGCTGCGGCTCCCCGGCACCCTGCGTCTGGCAGCTGAGAGAAGTACCTGTCAGCGTGGCTTTGCGGGGGGTTCGGGCAAGGCAAGTGTGGACAGGTACAAGTGCACAAGCAGTCACTGAAGCGCACCTATGCAAACTCACGAGCGAAAGCGAAGCGAGGCGAGACATTGACCGGCCAAAGGCACCTCCCAAAAGCGACCCGAGACGAAGCCCCCCCCGCGACAGACGAGGCCCGAGCCCACCGCACGTCCGAATAACGAGCGAAGCGAAGCGAAGCGAGGCGAGGCGAGGCTCGGCACTTGCACTGACAGGCAAAGACATGCAAGTGAACATGTGGACCTAGCGTAAGCGAAGCCCTCGCAAGTGACAGCAACTGTCCAAGCAAACACTCCGCTCACACAGCTGGGAGGAGAGAGGCAACGAAGGAGGGAGGCCTAATGCGCGAGAAGAGGCCCTCCTGACAGCGCGGCTTCAGCGAGGAAGAGAGCAAACGGAAGAGGGGAGACCTAGTTCACGCGAGGGGAGTAGCAGCGCGCACTCACTCCTGCGGGTTAGGGCGGGGGGAGCGGGTCATCGCAAACACTCGGTCCCTGCCTGTTTTTGCCTGTGCGCGGCGAGGCGAAGAAGGAAGATCTCAAAAAGGCACTCTGCGGTTCCCCCCTTGGTTGAGGTCAGCGATCGCGCGCGGTGCGTGCGCGGTCGCACGGGGAACAGAAATGGTGCTTATGTACTGTACCGGCCCGGGTCTGTATAATGGGCCTGAAGCAGCGGCCTAAACACACATTCGTGCGAAGGCGCTTCGGGGTTTCACACCCGAGGTTACAATAACCTTGGACGTGTGCGTCCGCGTGGCGTGAGGGCACTGGCTGTGGCGGCACCCCTGGCGGCAATGTCCAAATACTGTTCGTCTCGTTCTGCAAGACATTGCAGGGGTCTGGGTACCCCGCCCATTGTGCCACTGCGGCCGCCTCCTGGTCCGCGCGTTCCTTGGCGCGGCGCTCCGCCCTGCGCTGCTCGCGAGCCACCACATCTAGACTGGCGGCGGGAACTTGGGTGGCGGCAAGGGCGCGCTGTCGTCCTGTGGCTCCCCTGCGGAGGCAGTCTGCGCGGCGGCGGCTGACGAGTAGCCTGCTGAGAGCCGCTCCCAGTTGCACCAGAGTCGCCCGACCCCGCCGCTGCTGTTGCCGAGGTCCCCGGCTCGGTCTGCGTCTCCATCGCTGCTGGCTGCGGAGCGGGGGCAGGCGGCCCTGCGTCGTCGTCCTCCTCGTCGTCGCGGGGCCACGGCGTGACGGTGACCGGCTCGTCATCCTCCGGGTCACTGTCCAAGTTGATCAGGTCCCCCTGGCGCTCCTCGGACTCGCTCGAAAGAGGTGTGGTCGGCACCGGCGCGAACACCTGCGGCGCGGGGGACATCGACATGTGGTCCTCGAGGTCCGGCACGATCAGGTCGAGGTAGGCCAGTGACGTGTCAGGTGGCTGCGGCGTCCCCGGCGAGGCCTTGGCCTGGGCTGCGACGGCGGGCGTCTCGACCATGAGCTCCAAGTCCTGCGCGGTAGTGTCCTCGAAGGGCGTGGCGAAGCAAGCCGCCAATGCAGGGTCAGGCGGCACCACCGGCGGGCGCTTCCCAATCTGAGCCACCACACCAGGCTTCACTGTCCGGGCATCGAGGCGGGCGTTGCGGGCTTAGCGGGCGGCGTCTTCCTTGGCACTGCCGCCCCAGCCGCCTTGCCCGTGGCTCCACCAGTGCCTCCGGTCGTGCTCGGCGACGGCGCCGTGGATCGTGCTGTAGTGGGCGGAGGCGTGGTACTCGAAGAAGGCGTCCCCGGCTGCGGCGGCTTTGGCGCTGCGGCATCCTTGGGCTGCGCTGTCTTTCCAGCTCCTTTGGTGGCCTGCTTGCTGGTCGGCCCAAGGCCAGGCGCTGGCGAAGGCGAGGGCGTAGTCATCGAAGCGCCAGGGTGGTGCTGCTGGAGGATAGCGTCGCGGGCCTGGATCCTTGCACGGTAATGGCCGTCGAGCCCCATCAGCACGCTGTGGCACAGCCCCAACATCCTCCGCGATGACTCCACGCCAGCTGCCCCCAGGAACACGCGGATGTCGTCGTCGCTCAAGTCCCCCAACCCCTGGAAGACCATCGCCGCGGTGCGGAAATCCGGCGTCTGCGGCGCAGCGGGCGTGTCGCTGGAACTCCCTGCACCTGAACCGGCCATGGCTCCGCGGGGCGATGCTATGCGAAAAGCTGAAAGAATCCTCGAGCGACCAGCAGCTGCGTATTGACTTGCTGCTGTCGCTCGTACATGTCACTCCGTGCAACAAGTTGCACTACACTACATTACAGTTCTGAATAGTTCTACGTCATATCGTGCAATTGTTCGATCCGGTCGATGCAGATTCTGACGGAAGCACTGGACTTCAGTGGATGCAGGAGTCGTTCACGCACCGATTCGGCCTCCTGACCCGAAGTGTCGTTCTGCATCTCCACCGTATTCACCACATCCTCCTTCGGACTTCGCGCTGACAGCAAGGCATCCCGTTAATAAAGCGGCTTGGGACAAGTTTTCCGGCTTCCCCAAGACCAGAATCAGAACTTGCCAATGCTTTTCCACTCCTTGAAGAATGGGGTTGCCTGTCGGTCTCGACTTGACCGTGTCTTTCCTGATGCGGGAATAGCCTCTCAGTTCACAGATTCTGTGGCGCTTGCAGATTGCAGTTCGTTGAGGCGCATGTGCCTCGACGTCGACTGCGGGCGAGACTCGGACGGTCTTCCCGGGGCTCATGTTGAGGGTCTCCTTTCCAACTGCAAAGTCAGCGGGCGGCTGGGGAGGTGCCACTCCGACCTGCATCTCCGAGGTCACGTAAGGTGTCGGAATCCTCCCAAGCCGGGCCGAGCTGGAGCTCTTGCGCACAACATCTCACAACCTCGCAGCATCTCACAGCTCTTCTCCGCTTCGCCTGTCTCTGCTTGAACGGAAGTTGGATGTCACCTCGAACTCCTCCCGCGCAGGCGCACGTTGGAGATTGTGATCCGTCCAGTCACTCTCCAAATACAAATCCTCGACTGTGGAGACGACCGTTGTGAGCAGCACGCGATGGTCCTGTGGTCGACACTGCAGGAGAGACACTGCAGGAAAGCCAGGGATGCAGCATATCCCAGAGAGGACCCTGCTCCACACCGCAGCATGCCCCCAAGCAATGCGTCAATGTGCTGCCTCGAACTCCTGTGCTTCGGCAACAAACGGGGTCGCGACTCGATCACGGACCGATCGACCGACCTGGCAGTGCCGAGCAGATCCAATCGCAATTTTTGACTTTAGGCACCAGTGTAGCGACACTGTCATGACTACCATGGGACCCTTCTATCAGTACTAGGGTTACTCTCGGTTGCCTCTTCTGGGACCTGCTGGCGACTCTGAATACTGTGACGATTCGTTGCCTGCCGACATGCCAGCGAGGCCTTGGACTGCGGAGCAGCAACGACCTTCCCAAGCAACCAACAACTGTTCAAGGGATGAGCAAGAATTGCATCAGCCAGCGAACAAGCACGTCGATTTTTCGAGTCTACTCGTTGCATACCTTCTTATGGGGCATTCACGACCTGGAAACTTATCCGAGTGATGGTTTGAGGGGAAACGAGCCTGGACCCATATCATTCGCCTCTTATCCTCTTGTTTAATACCTCCTTCAGGCTCATGTGGTAGATCGGGTCGCAACTTTACTCACATCCTGACCCTTCCAATCGACTTGCACCACTGCCATTCCGTTTGCTTCAGCGATCCTCCCTGAGAAGCGAACAGGCATCCCATTGGCCGTACTCGTGTCGGTTGTAGCTCATGCTACTAGTATGGCTCTAACAGAGCCTTCGATGTTGGGGCTGTGCAGTGCCAGGGTGCCCGCCTTGCTTGGAGTTTCCCAGCTGACTTTGTCGCTGAACTCGACTGCTTTCGAGTCCAAATCGCTGTCCTCCTGCTCTAAGACAGCTAGAAAGCTGGCAAAATGCAGTGAAGCTAGGGCGTCTCCTTGAAGAACGGGGTGGCCTGACGTTCTCGAACGGGCCGTCTCTGCCCATCGAGATGTATGACCTAGCACCGGAGCCGTGAAGTGGGTAGACTCTTCCTCATCTCCTGGCTTATGTACACTGTTGCGCACTGCTTGCAGATATCGAACATAACTTGCTGCCAGTGCATGGCAGCACTTGCATGGCCTCCGTCTCTGCGGCCGGAAACAAGCGAACGGTCTTCGAAAAGTTCGCAAACGTCTCCTCTCTGCCAGTGGGTGCGATGAGATGCGGTGAGTATTCCAGGGATTGTAGCATGTTCCCGGGTAGTTTCCGCCAGTCCTCGATCATGCTGGTGCTGACATGGGGTGTTGGCATCCTGGCACTGTCAGCACACGGAGACAGGGGAGTGAATTGATTCTGTTTCGGCTGTGATGATGCTTTTGGGGGTTTTGTGGGGCTGTGGCCCCGCCTGTCTCGACTGGGTCGGAGCCTTTGGGAAGCTGGCTCGAACTCCTGCACATAGGGAGATGGAGTACGTAGCTCCGTCTGCGACCGACTGGTCAGCATTCCGGTCTCCCGAATCTTGCGATATGCTGTTGTCAGGCACCCTCAGCATGCAGTGATGCAGTCCTCCACAGCCGTAGGAGCTGGAGACAGCTGCACTCGACGATCCTGCGCCCAGAGAATGGTCCCCCAAGTGCAAAGCCTGAGACTTTACGAACCTGGAAAGAGCTGAAAGCCATCGAGGTGAAGGGTGTTGAAATGCGGTCACGTACTGGCCGCGTGCCGGCCTGGCGAGAAACATCCGCAATATCTTCAACGTCATTCGCATGGCGTGGGCACAGTTTTGGAAGGCCTGCGGCTCGACCAAGACGGCCTGTAGATGCCGAATACATAGCGGCCAAGCGGCAGAAAATTTTCACACTAGTTTCGTTTATCCTGTCAGCTCGCAGCTTCAAATCCACGGATGCGCATCGTCGAATCGGGCTAGCACCAGTTTTATGGTTCGGAGTGTGGTGCTCGAAGATTCCAACAGCGAGCGAACAACCATCCGCCACCCGGGACACTGCCAGAATTTGGGGAAGTGAGGCTTGCGAGCTGCATTCGACTTAGCCACGGACTGACTTTTTAAGTTTGGGAAGGTATCAACTGCTCAAACCGGCACGCCTCTGTGCTGATCGTGTCGTCGAAGTTTACACTCCGCCCACCCTCATGCACATCGAAGTCCTGGGGTAGACATGCGATGCTGATACACCCCAGAAGCCCCCTCACAACCTTGTAACTCAAGCGGGATATCCACACGTCCTCGTCCTTGAAGAACGGCGTCGCTTGACGTTCTCGACTGGACCGTGTCTGCCCAGAGGTCGCAATGGCCTCCAAATGCATGATGTTGTCATGATTCAATGTTCTCTGCATTAGTCTTCCAAGTCTGGCTTAAGGTCTGCTCCTGCATCTCAGCCACAGGAAAGATGCGAACGGATTTGCCGGAATTGGGGAAAGCCTCCTGCGATTCCGGCATTCATGCAGACTTCATGCAGGCATGCCGCACAATTTAACCTTCACTCCGAAAGCCGCAAACAGCTTACATGATGCTCCGGTCCTCCAACATTTCGGTGCTCACGTGGGGGGTGGGGATCCTGCAAAGACCAGTTCTAAACCGGACTGACAGACGAAGCGTACAGAACCTATCTCTGTCCTGTCTCGGCTTGAACGCAGCTGAACTTCGAGGCCTTCCACCTCGAACTCCTCCCACTCTGCAGGTGCAGCCGACAAGGCAATTCTCTGTGGACTCTGCAGGCTTGACAATATCCCAGTACATCGCGCACCAGCCTTCATTGCCATCGCATGCCAAGGAATTGCTGCAACAGCATGCATCAGCTGCGTCGCCCGTCCTCGACGGAGGTATCGAAGGGCACGACCACGCGGCTCTCCTTTTTACTGTGACCGACAGAAGCCAGTCATGCATCTCTTTGTGCCGGTAGCGTACTTCACTCACCATCCCACCTCGGGATCAACGT